ACAGCAGCTCTGGGTGCCCCTCTCTGTGCGCCCCATTTTGCATTTTCAGCCCCTTCGTCCCCTCCTGCGAGTTCAGCACCGTCACCCCAGGGCCATCACTTCCCCCGTGGGCTTTACACCTCTGCGTACCCCAGCTCCCGAGGGGAGGCATCCGGACCCCCGGCCGGTTATTCCCACCCAGGCTCTCAGCCGCTTGTGGTCCCTGGGAGAAGCCCGTTTGTTGTTCCCTGACCCTTTTCACGGGATTTCTGCTAACATTGTCTTTTGAGGGACTTTGTCAAAACTCTCTGGAAAAATCCCAAGTAAGTTACATCAACTTATTTTCCCTCACGGGTGAGTCTCCCTGGCTTGCTGGGCTTCTCGGGACGTATGACTCTCTTTTTCCAGTGCCAGCAATCCTAGCGAAAAAAAAATAATAAAGAAACAGCAAGAACACCCACATCGGTTCCCATTTGGGAGCGACGGTTTTTTTCCCCCCCCTTACGCGGAGGCAAAGCGTGGCCTCGCATCCACGAGGGAAGAGCCCTGGCCCCGCGGTCTCACGCCCCAGGCTCGTACCTGAGCACGACCAGCTCAGCCGAGGGTCCAAACCATCGCACGAGTCCAAGGCCAAGCCAGGAAGCCAAGCCCAGCTGGAAACCAGCGCTGCGGCAGCTCGGGGACTGAAGCAGGGCTCCAGGGAGCCGGGGAGGGGCACGGGTGGTGGCCTCAGGTGGGGCAGGGGAGGGCCATTAGGGCTAATGAAGGCTAATGAGTCCCATCAGTGTGTGGGCATCTCCACGCTTCCCCACGAGGCTCAGCTCCCCAGGCAATGGGGAAAAAAAAAAAAAAGATTTTAAATTCAGCTTTTCTTGCGGCACGTGCAGGTGCAAAAATTCCTTTTAAACAAACAAAAATCCCTTTTAAACAAACAAAAATCCCTTTTAAACAAGCAAAACTGTGCTGGCAGCTGCTTGTTTAAATATCCCTCCGCGTGTTTGCGTTGTCAGGGAAAAAGGTGTGCTTGTGAGGAGCTCCTGAATGGCGCTTTTTTTCCTTTTTTTTCCCCTTTTTTTTTTTTCCCCCCCCAAAGCGTAATGAAATTTGGCAAGAGCAGCAAAACGAATTCCCCAGTACGCACTCGCGGATCTCACAAATATACTGGGAGCGGGGGTATGGTGCGGGGAGCGTAGCAACATACCTAGCAACCATAACAAACACAAACGTCGTGGCTGAGCTCCTCATTAAGGCCCGTTACGGCATTAATAAGTGGTTTGGCGTGCGTGCGCTCCCGCTTTCGCTCCGGCGAGGAGTCAGACCGTGATACGAATCCGTGGGGTGGGAGGAGACGGGGCAGCGCTGATGGAGGCGCACCAGGCGTGGGCTGCTCCGGGGTTAAAACTCAGATTTTAACCTGCGGGCGAGCATAAGCTGACGTCCCCCTGCGTGTTACAGCGGCAATTCAGCGCCCCTTTGTTCACGGGGGGGGCGCCTCATCAGACTGAAGGTGAGGAGGAGCGTGGGGATGCTCGGGACTCGGGATGCTCAGGGCTTGGGATGCTCGGGACCCGGGCTGCTCGGGACCCGGGATGCTCAGGACCCGGGACGTACGG